AGAGAGAGAGAGAGAGAGAGAGAGAGAGAGAGAGATCTATAACTATGCAAAATTCTTATTTTCAATGAAAATCAAATTTTAATCGTTATAATCTAAAAGTACATTTCAAAACGAATGCACTCCATATCCAGGTATTCAGTTATCCACTGTGTTTTCTCGCAACTGAAAAATAACCCGCTTGAAAATAACGGATAATAAGAATCCGGATTTCACGTAATCATATTGCACAGAGGTTTAAGCATACGATCAAGTACCAGTACATCTTCCTGATTATATATAATTAAATTCATCACTTGTGCATGTTGTTATTTGGCAGTATTGGTATAACACCCGTATGTTAAGATACATGAAAAGCCAATCAATGTAATTTAGGCTTATAATATGTAATGATTTAAGAGGGTATGGTACACTTGGTTTGAGATATGTACATATTAAACAGCCAATAGAATTTGATATGGACTCTGGACAATCAGCCATAGGCCAATGCACTGGGCATTCCACAGGATTTTTCTTCTCAGGAACAATTATTCCCCTCCTAGTATTTATTCGACTCTTCATATCCAATTAACAGATAAAAAAGCAATATGTTAACATCCTTGACCTTACCTGGTCGGGATAGAAGAGGGAATCTCTACACGAGGGAAGGACGTTACGTTTACATGTTTCTGTGCAATGTTACGAGTACCTCTACTGGTACAGTGATAACGCACCTATCTAGTAAGCTTAACATTTTGACTTTTATACGTAGAGAAGAATTGACAGACTATATGATAACTGTCTCAAATAAATTTGTGAAATAAATTTAATCTGCATTTCTACCAATATAAGTTAGTAACTTTACTTACGTAAGCTATCATAGGCAAGTTCCACGCTGCGGCCACTTTCGCCTCTGTCTCGCATTCATCCTCCGGACCGAAAAAAGCTACTGCCCCTTTTCTCCATTGTTCGGTCAGTCTGGCAGTCCCTATCAGAGAATCACCTTCATTGTCGTTCCACAGGAAATCAAGTTGGAGCCCATTCAATAAGCTCGGATCCTCGTTGATAGTTTTGATGGCATACGAAAAGGCTCCGGATATTATTCTTGCTTGTCGATTAATTTTCCATTTGTCCCCTTTCTTCCCTTGGTCATTTGTCAAATATCCTACCAACAGGTGATTTGGCTGTATTGTGTAAGAAGGGGATGATCCAGATGAAAAACCAAGCTCTGTTCTTGAACTAGGGGTATTTCCCAACGATGAGGCATTTATGGGCGAAGGTGCATCTTCACCTAATACAACACAGGCTATACTCAGTAGCAACAATAAATGGAAAGGGACCCCGTTGTTAAGCGTCTTTTCTTTCATAGCAAGGCCTAACGAGTCCCGTTACAATGAAAAATAGTCAGACTCCCCAAACAATGACATATCATCGCGCATATCCTCGCGATGAGCTAGTATTGATGTATATGATATCCCGATTAGAGACTCGTGTCCAGATAAAGTATTCCCGCTGAGCAATTTCTTTGAGCTTATTAAGAAGTCGGTATTATTTTATCCACGTTCAAACATATGGTCATCTTCAAGCAACATCATGCTACATTGAGAGTTGGATAGCATGATCGTAAATTGTCTCTACAGTAGCTGCTGGCGTCCAATACGTTTCCAAGGTCTTTCTTTACCTTGTCTTGAAAATGCCCGTTAGTCAAAGCAGTCATACCCCATATAAAATATATCAAATAGTGCATTCCCGCCATATAACAGTAAGTGCCTGGCAGTCATAATACATCAACTCACCAAAATAAAGTAGTGCCGCGGTGTCCGAGATGACAAGGGAACATATACGTCTTAACCACTATGGGAGTGACTGACGGTCAGACTTAAAGTACGAGAAGAGGCGTATATTGTCCGCTAGGCATGTTGATTGCGTGATTAATATTCCAACTGTTCCCTGATTATATAAAAACGATATTCTTAATTTGACAACTAAGTCAGTTGGTCATATCATGCCTCAAGCAAACTATGCTTGTCACTTATCACCTCAATTTCAGCCGCGTGCTGACTGGCCGCGCCGTCGCGTGTTTATGTTAAGGGAGACTACAAATGTACTCTGTATGGCTTTTTACCTGTCGGGGTGTTGCCTCGAAGTTTAGATTGTTCTCTGTCGTAATGGGTGTCACTTAGTGTCTTCAGTGCTCACGGATGATGTTATCATTTCTCCACTTCCACGTGCTGCTGCATCCTGGTCGACCTTTTTTTCACAAGGAGTCATCCATCTTTCTCGACAGCTCCCGTCGGTGGTACACCTGACAGTTTTTTCGTAAAAAATGGCTAACTCATAGCTCCCGGCACGTAAACTGTGCCCTCGCCACCTCTGAAATAAGGAAATATAAAATTGAATATATCACCTAGATGAACCTTGAAAAGGGGAAGATGGAGAAATAACGTGTAATATATACCAAAGTGCGTGGTGTGTATAGACTCCACACCTGATTTATTTATCACCACAGGAAGACTTCCACATGATGCCATGCCGTCTTTTCAAACAAAATCTTACACACGGAAAACGTCATAAAAAGCATACATCAACTTGGCATGCGGATGAACAGCAACATTCAGTTCTGAGAATGTTTGGCCCTTCCACGGTATGCTTTAAAACACTGGTTCAAATGCTTTACTACCGTACCTTGCCACATTGCCATTGCTCTTACGCCGAGCTGTGCGTCCACTACACAGTAATGTTTCCAATATAGTCCAGTATAGAGTGTATCAATGTTATCAACGTGAATTAAACAAGTCGGTCATCTAATTGTACCCTTGTGTTAATACATGTTGTATTTATAAATGAGGCTTGTGGTTTCTGGCTACGTTTTTCGCAAGCTAGAACTGTTGGATCGCCTTACTGTGAACAGCATGCGTGATGGCCTTTTAATAAATCATATTTGCTTTTCTATTTACTTTTTTAGTGCATTCCAAATGCTTATAGTTTGTAGTTGTCAAAATTCAGAATCGGGGTATTCGTTTACATTAATTAAGTTTCTGACATAACATAATTGATTACAAAGCCGAAATTAAGCCACCACTAGAATTAAGCATACGGTAGTCCCTCTGGAACAATAACACATCAGGACATGGATGTTCCATTTCAGTCATAGAAAACTGACGCATGATTAACAGCCTGCCCATCAATTACAAGATTCCATGTTAAATCAAATGGGAAATCAAGTATATGAATTCAAACGTTGCCTTTCGTTATTAAAAAAACAAGATTTGAACCAAAGTGTAAAAGGGTATTCAGCCAGCGTTTAGAGTGCCCAGATAATTTTTTTCACAATCTACTCGGTTGGTCCTTTCTTTTGGCGTATGCGATTAAAAAAGAAATGCTTACCATGATGGATATCACATAAAATAAATGGGAATTAAACTCCTTTATTATCTGAGTATTCTGGCTCTTGGTAACCGCTTTATATCAATGGAAAAATGATAATTTAACAATATGAACAAACAAATAAAACGAAATAAGATTAAAAAATATAATGAGTGCAAGGCGTACTTTGATTACTGATAAGTTTATATCGGAGGAGAGACAGCATGGACTCACAATTAAGACTCTAGTGACAGGAATGAAAATTCAGGAACCAGTGCAATGGCATTTTTTGCTCACTTATGGGATGCATCGTGTCAAGGTCGCACAATCTAATATTGCCAGATGATGGTCACAGGAGTTTTATTACACCAAAAATGAGGGAATTTACATTGTTTTGAAGTTGGTTATTTTATGTACATGTACAGGACTAGAGCTGTGACACAGATCATGACGCGTCATTTTGTATTGCTTGTTGCACAAAATGGACAGTAAATCTGCCATCAGATCAAAAAGACATATAAAAAATATAGCCCTGCATATCAAAGTAACCCTTGTATGCCACAACCTTATCAATGGCACTTCGGAGATTTAACACAGATTGACTAATAATGCCATATATTTTAGTCGAATGAGACTCAGCATTTACGAGCATATCAAACCAGCTCATGTTTCGCATGCTGCATGTACTGGACACCATAAAGTTCAACTTGTGTAAATTGTTTTATGTAACCTTTTTTCCTCTATGACCAACTTTTCATTTTCTCTCATCTGTGTATTATGTGTTGTACAGTGAGTTCAATTGTATCTGCTAAAGCATCATGTTTAGCTTTTCGTAATAAATATTGTAAACCGTCGGCCTTTTCCCCTTATCATCTCTAGTAAGTCCACAATTGTCAGGAAAATTACAAATATAAGATAACACATATCCTTCAGTACGTAAAGCTTTTCTATTGACAAGCATTATCATTCCATATGGGCACGAGCGCGGTTACACAAACATACACACACTCGCACGCCCACACACACAAACAAAAATTAAACTCACACAAAAAGAAAAAANTATCGAGTCCCGTTACAATGAAAAATAGTCAGACTCCCCAAACAATGACATATCATCGCGCATATCCTCGCGATGAGCTAGTATTGATGTATATGATATCCCGATTAGAGACTCTTGTCCACATAAAAGTATTCCCGCTGAGCAATTTCTTTGAGCTTATTAAGAAGTCGGTATTATTTTATACACGTTCAAACATATGGTCATCTTCAAGCAACATCATGCTACATTGAGAGTTGGATAGCATGATCGTAAATTGTCTCTACAGTAGCTGCTGGCGTCCAATACGTTTCCAAGGTCTTTCTTTACCTTGTCTTGAAAATGCCCGTTAGTCAAAGCAGTCATACCCCATATAAAATATATCAAATAGTGCATTCCCGCCATATAACAGTAAGTGCCTGGCAGTCATAATACATCAACTCACCAAAATAAAGTAGTGCCGCGGTGTCCGAGATGACAAGGGAACATATACGTCTTAACCACTATGGGAGTGACTGACGGTCAGACTTAATGTACGAGAAGAGGCGTATATTGTCCGCTAGGCATGTTGATTGCGTGATTAATATTCCAACTGTTCCCTGATTATATAAAAACGATATTCTTAATTTGACCACTAAGTCAGTTGGTCATATCATGCCTCAAGCAAACTATGCTTGTCACTTATCACCTCAATTTCAGCCGCGTGCTGACTGGCCGCGCCGTCGCGTGTTTATGTTAAGGGAGACTACAAATGTACTCTGTATGGCTTTTTACCTGTCGGGGTGTTGCCTCGAAGTTTAGATTGTTCTCTGTCGTAATGGGTGTCACTTAGTGTCTTCAGTGCTCACGGATGATGTTATCATTTCTCCACTTCCACGTGCTGCTGCATCCTGGTTGACCTTTTTTTCACAAGGAGTCATCCATCTTTCTCGACAGCTCCCGTCGGTGGTACACCTGACAGTTTTTTCGTAAAAAATGGCTAACTCATAGCTCCCGGCACGTAAACTGTGCCCTCGCCACCTCTGAAATAAGGAAATATAAAATTGAATATATCACCTAGATGAACCTTGAAAAGGGGAAGATGGAGAAATAACGTGTAATATATACCAAAGTGCGTGGTGTGTATAGACTCCACACCTGATTTATTTATCACCACAGGAAGACTTCCACATGATGCCATGCCGTCTTTTCAAACAAAAACTTACACACGGAAAACGTCATAAAAAGCATACATCAACTTGGCATGCGGATGAACAGCAACATTCAGTTCTGAGAATGTTTGGCCCTTCCACGGTATGCTTTAAAACACTGGTTCAAATGCTTTACTACCGTACCTTGCCACATTGCCATTGCTGTTACGCCGAGCTGTGCGTCCACTACACAGTATAATGTTTCCAATATGGTCCAGTATAGAGTGTATCAATGTTATCAACGTGAATTAAACAAGTTGGTCATCTAATTGTACCCTTGTGTTAATACATGTTGTATTTATAAATGAGGCCTGTGGTTTCTGGTTACGTTTTTCGCAAGCCAGAATTGTTGGATCGCCTAACTGTGAACAGCATGCGCGATGGCCTTTTAATAAATCATATTTGCTTTTCTATTTACTTTTTTAGTGCATTCCAAAAGCTTATAGTTTGTAGTTGTCAAAATTCAGAATCGGGGTATTCGTTTATTAATTAAGTTTCTGACATAACATAATTGATTACAAAGCCGAAATTAAGCCACCACTAGAATTAAGCATACGGTAGTCCCTCTGGAACAATAACACATCAGGACATGGATGTTCCATTTCAGTCATAGAAAACTGACGCATGATTAACAGCCTGTCCATCAATTACAAGATTCCATGTTAAATCAAATGGGAAATCAAGTATATGACTTCAAACGTTGCCTTTCGTTATTAAAAAAACAAGATTTGAACCAAAGTGTAAAAGGGTATTCGGCCAGCGTTTAGAGTGCCCAGATAGTTTTTTTCACAATCTACACAGTTGGTCTTTCTCTTGGCGTATGCGATTAAAAAAGAAATGCTTACCATGATGGATATCATAAAAAATAAATGGGTATTAAACTCCTTTATTATCTGAGTATTCTGGCTCTTGGTAACCGCTTTATATCAATGGAAATATGAACAAACAAATAAAACGAAATAAGATGAAAAAATATAATGAATGAATGGCGTACTTTGATTACTGATAAGTTTATATCGGAGGAGAGACAGCATGGACTCACAATTAAGACTCTAGTGACAGGAATGAAAATTCAGGAAAAAGTGCAATGGCATTTTTTGCTCACTTATGGGATGCATCATGTCAAGGTCGCACAATCTAATATTGCCAGATGATGGTCACAGGAGTTGTATTACACCAAAAATGAGCGAATTTACATTGTTTTGAAGTTGGTTATTTTATGTACATTACAGGACTAGAGATGTGACACAGATCATGACGCTCCATTTTGTATTGCTTGTTGCACAAAATGGACAGTAAATCTGCCATCAGATAAAAAAGACATATAAAAATATAGCCCTGCTTATCAAAGTAACCCTTGTATGCCACAACCTTATCAATGGCACTTCGGAGATTTAACACAGATTGACTAATAATGCCATATATTTTAGTCGAATGAGACTCAGCATTTACGAGGATATCAAACCAGCTCACATGTTTCGCATGCTGCATGTGCTGGACACCATAAAGTTCAACTTGTGTAAATTGTTTTATGTAACCTTTCTTCCTCTATGACCAACTTTTCATTTTCTCTCATCTGTGTAATATGTGTTGTACAGTGAGTTCAATTGTATCTGCTAAAGCATCATGTTTAGCTTTTCGTAATAAATATTGTAAACCGTCGGCCTTTTCCCCTTATCATCTCTAGTAAGTCCACAATTGTCAGGAAAATTACAAATATAAGATAACACATATCCTTCAGTACGTAAAGCTTTTCTATTGACAAGCATTA